GTGAGATGGATCGGTGGTTTGGCGCAACATCTGCAGTGATGCAGGTGCAATGCTGGACTGTTGTGGTAAAGAGGGAGCTGAGCCAGAAGGCAAAGCTTTCAATTTACTGGTCCATATATGTCCCAACCCTCACCTATGGTCATGAACTATGGGTAGTGACCAAGAATGAAATCATGGATACAAGCAGCCGAAGGTAAGGGTCGGAAAAGGTAGGGTAAGGAATTCGGACATTTGGAGAGAGCTTGGTGTAGAGCCACTGGTTCGGGCATCTGAGTAGGATTAGAGGTGTTCTGAGCATGTCCACCTGGCGGGAGGCTCCAGAACACGCTGCAGGGATTATATATCTCATCTGGCTAGGGAATGCCTTGGGATCCCCCAGGAGGAGCTGGAAAGCATTGCTGGGGCGAAGGACGTCAGAAGTACTTTACTCAGACTGCTGCCCCCACGATCTGGCCTAGGATAAGAGGTTGGAAATGGATGGAGGAATGGACTGATGGATCAGTGTTCATGAAGAGATCAGGAAGGCAGCAGTCGAGTCGAGCAAATTCTAATTTCCAGAAAATTGGCAAAAACCCCAAACTAATTAATACAAGTTTTTGTCCACTCTGGGTCATTTCCTGACAATGTTGATTAGCCACACTGGTTGTTTGGCTATTTTTTTTTTTGACAAATAACTAATATGCGCTCAAAGTTTTGAGATGAACGTTTGGCTATAGCAGAAGCTGCAAGCTATAAACATCACTGTGAGCTAGCTAGTCATTGCCATTAGCACATACCCGCACTGAGCTGCAGTGTTGCAGTAACGTCACTACAAGTAGCAACGTTACTAACTTAACTACGTCTCAGTAGCGTGGTGGTAATGTCACTACTTTCTGAGTTAAATAGCTTTTCAAAAGTGAAGTTGATTGATTGACCCAGTAGCGCGGCAGCGTCCACAGAAGTTACAAGCTGTTATTCCCAGGAAAAGCTCTAAGACCTTTTATCCTGGATACGGTGTTAAAGGCAGGATGCTGTTCTTTTCCAAGAAAGTTGCTTAGTGGTCCGTGAAGCCAAAAAAAAGCTATATTTCTGCAGTATGAGATTACCCAGATGATCAGTGCTGCGTCCGCATCATTGGGCCAATAGAGCAAGCACACTAGCGACTTCCCGCCGGCTGAGCTGCCTAATTCGGGTTTGAATTGGGTTAAAATGATTTGTCCTTGTGGCTCTTCTAGACTTTCCAAATGTTACTGGACTGAATCGATTAAACATTTCAGGAGGTTGTAACACTCAAAGAAATGTATCCACTGACTTACAGGTGTGTCTTTCCCAATGTAATTCTATGGGGAAAAGTTTCTTGGGGCCAGACGGTGTCACGTGTCAGACTCGGTTGTAGTTCCAGTGTTTGGCCACTATGAAAATTGGTTTCAAAGCCCGGCACACTTCCTGGGGGCTATAAACCACTGCAGAAGAAGAGGAGCTGATTCAGAGAGCTCCAGTCAAAGCTCAAACCACATGGAAGAAAACCTGATGGGAATACGACATTTCTGTTTCTAGTATTAATGTGAGGAGGTTACAGTCTCCTCATCGCCCCCCACACGTCTCATGTTTCCAGCTCTTCATGCTTCACGTACGTTATCATTTATTCACTCGGTCTGTTTCCATTTGGTTTTTAATTGATGCTTGCCCACCTCAGCCACGGCGTAAAAACTCTTTTGCGAAATTTCAAATGTTCCGGTGTCTCCGCTTTTTAAAATTGAAAATTCACATAAAAACAGGCGGATGGGAAGGCAAAGGATTCGTTTGAAGCACACTGAGGCCTTCGCTCTGACTTTGGCGGACAGGCTGCAGAGTTTGAATAAACCTCTCAGAACCTGCTGGCTGTGAAATTAATGACGAGGAGGAGGAGGAGGAGGAGGAGGAAGATGAGAGTGTAAAGGTTCTGCTTTATGATTGTCGCAGTGTGTTGGCAGACCCTCAACCTCTGCCCAGAAACACACACCTACACCCACAGAGACACACACACTGTTGGGTTGACGCCATAATGAAGTGGTCCCTGAAATGAGTGTTCACAAGAGAATATGTTATACTGGGACACGCACACACACACGTTAAAATAAAACCTGAGGTCTGAAGGAGCTCAACACTGGCAGCTGTGTTCCCCTCTATTAACCTCAATTTACTCTCTGTCTCCCTCCATCTGCCTTCAGTTAGATTTTCTTTCTCTTCACATATTTTCTGTCACTTTCTTTCTCTTTCTCTTCCTCCCTGTCTTTCTTGTTCTGTAACGTGCTCACTCTATCATTCTCTTTCTAACTCTTCAAACCTCCATCAGTTCATTTCACATCATAGCTGCTCACATGGCTTGACACTTAAAGGCCATGACACACCAAGTGGACGATCGGCTGTTGGTCAGTGTTGGGCTGTCTGTGAGAATCTGTCACCCTAGTTGGCGCCGTTGCCCCTCATCAGCCCGCATCATCTTTTTTCTGGCTGATTCAGCGTGTAGAAGCAGCAGCAATGAATGAAAGCAATGTGATTGGCAGTTCAGCTCAGCTACGCTTGCGAGAATCTCCCCAAATGGAGACTTTTTACACCAACTTCCCTTAAAACTGGTTTCAGGAAAGTTTTCAGTGGTCAGTCTCAACTTTATTTTACTTTTTACACAAACTTTCATTTATTAAATGGTTTCAAGTTTCAGTTATAGTAATAGAGCATTTGTTCAACCAAAAATAACCCCTCTGTTTCAAATCCTTGAAGGCTCATTCTGAGTTACAATAATAATAAAAATTATTTAATACAGTGATACCGTGAAGCCACTGTTATCATACCATGAAAATCTCATACTGTTGCAACCCTAAGCTCAGCATATAGGAAGAGAAATAAAAGTGAGGAAAGTAAACAAAGAGCTAAAGTCCAGAGGGAGTGAGACAGAAACAAACTTGTTCCATAAGGTCAGATTATTTTTCTGTGGAGCAGAGACATTTCTTGATGGTTTGTGTTCTTGTTCACTGGCGCGTGGTAAATATGCTCTGTTCTTTCAACATTGGATTGTGTTGTTAATGTGCTAAGTGGCTAAAAAGCTTCATGACAGTCTTCCTGTTTCGCGTTTTGAATGACACATACAGGTGACCACCAGCTGCTGGTTATTTCCTCTCACGTAGGCTCATAACGTACATGCTTTTTGGCTGTTGGCTGTAGTCTTTGCAGCATGTTCATGTGCAGCCTTTTTGGCCAAGACACAGGGGACATCAGGTGGAGCAGCAGGGGGCCTTTGTCATCGCTCGTTCTCTGAAGTTGGTTTGGTGTGTCTGCGGCCCCGTTGATACGACAACGATTTCAACTGAAAACAGTAAACTTTAGTTGCGTTTTGGCCGATCGTTTACACGACAGCAGCGTTTTGGGTGCCTGAAAACGCAACGTTTTGAAAACAGGTTCCAGAGTGCAACTTTTTGGAAACGGCAGCGTCTCCGTTGTCATGTAAACTTGCAATATGCAGTTCCTCTGAAAACGGACTTTTCGCACATGCGCATTACGGTTCCAGTCACTAGGCATGCCGACTGTCACAACAACAATGCTGAGCTCTGTTTGTGCTGCTCACCCTGTTGATTTGAAGTGAAGTGTAGATCTGTTACTGTAGCAACTCCACCTCGTCGTCCATCCAGACAAAGTTATCTGTGCATGCTTTTGCCATTGTGTCTTCTTTGTTTTGGTTTGTAATCACCGCGTTGTAAAGGAAGGCGCTTCAGCGCAGGCGCATGGTGTTTCCAGTAGATTTTGCAGCTCTGTGTGAACAGGGATCGTTTCAATAACGTCGTCATATAAATGCAGAAGTTTTTTAAAACACAAAGGACAGACTTTTCCATTTTTAGAGAAACCGTTGTCGTCTCAACAGGGCCTGAGCTGTGACACTCAGGGTGTTTTAACACCTGTAGTTTGATTCATTTTTCATTTGAAAAAAAAAAAAAAAGATTCAGTTTTGGTTCAGTTCCTGTTCACACTGATCGTTTTGCGAATGAACCAAGAGGAGTAAACATGAAGTTCTACTGACTGACAGGTAACTCTTTGATTGAACAGTTTTGGTGTTTGTCGTCCTGCATCATCAGGACCCATGTGGGGAAATCTCACAGAGGTTTCTTCAGCAGCACTTTAATGTTTCTAAAGTATTTATATGTTTTGGTTTCACAATGAGCTCACAGAGAAATAACTGACTGTAAGCATTATTAGGAGGCTGTTATTAGACTGCAAATCAATGGCATGTGATGAATAATGACCAACACAGAGACAGGATGAAAAGAAGGCATCTTGTACAGTAATGATTCAGGGCTTCATACTGTGAACACAAAGTATATGGAGTTGATACAATGATGGCATTTTGAACAGTTCTTAATCAGGGAAAATACCCTCACTGACGTGTGTTACCGTGGTTACATGTATGCATTAGCATTAATAGGTTATGGGATATACAAGGCCTTTATCACAATCAATGATGAGATGTCGGACAGATTTCACAATCAGCAGAGGGATTTATTTTTTGGTTTAGCTGTTGCTAAAATCACATATCTGCATCATTAAATCCTGTGGTTGGTTTGTTTTCTTTCACGCCACAAACGAACCGCACCAGAGTCCATTTGGAAGCAGACAGAGACCCACTTTTTGGAGTGGTCTTGGTGCAGTTGTTTGGTCCACACCAGGGTTTGATTGACAGCTTTCATACCAGCCTATGGTGCTGTTGCTGGGTTGATTGTTTGTTGTTGTTTACTATGAGCACTACGTCAAATTCTGTACGTTGGACCAGTTTAATCAGTTTTCAACTTAATAATTGTTGATACAGTAGAATTTGAAAATACAAAATGTCAAGGTTAGACCTGTTTCCATGGAGTCAGACGACAGTGGCGAAGTAAAGGTTAGGGTTAGGGGTTAGGGGTTACACTACAGGGGAACTACTAATTTCCTTTCTCACATTAATTTAGGTGCATGCTGGGTAAACCTGTATCTCTCTCTCTACTGTGTACTTTCAGGTGACGGGACGCTCAGGGTTTGGGATGTGAAGAGCGCTGCGTGTCGACTGGCCGTCCCAGCACACAAGGCTGAAATCCTCAGCTGTGACTGGTGCAAATACGACCAGGTAACCGCCCACCTTCTGCTGTACCTTTTAAAGGACAATACACTCATTTATTTTCAAATAACTGGGTTTTGAATAACAGTGAGTTGCTGTTTGTTTGCAGAATATTGTGGCCACAGGCTCAGTAGACTGCAGTGTGTGTGTGTGGGACCTGAGGAACGTCCGACAGCCTGTCAATCAACTAAGAGGGCACACCTACGCCATCCGCAGAGTCAAGGTATATATACACACACAGACACACACATGCCCTGGTTTCTGTTTGCTGTCGCATGCTCCATCAAATGTCCTATAACTACACTTTGTTCTTAGAGTTGACAGTCGCAAAGTGTGTGTGTTTGTGTGTGTGTGTGTGGTGGCAGAGATGCAGTGCAGGGCCTGACAGCATCAAAACACCCACTTAAATGGACCTAATAAGACCACACACACATATCAGACGTGTGTGTGTGTGAGAGAGAGAAAAGACAGCTGCAGAGGAGTCCCCAAACACATCCCACTGACTCAGATTAGACACATATCACTTCATACACACACACTGACGTCATGAATACGTATACACACTCACAAACACACACGCAAACACACACCTGAGTTCACCCAATCAAGGAACTGTCTCGCTCAAGCTGTGTTTTTCAGGACAGGTGTCGCTAATCGATCAAGATTTGAGACTCACTCTAAAACTGTGTGTGCGCGTGTGTGTTTTGTCAGTGTTTGCAAATGTGTCTGCTTGCATAGATTTCCTGGAGGAAGCAGAGAGGAGCTGAAGGGATTCATGACCAGCAGGAAAAAAAGAGATAAAAATAAACTGAGAGATGGAGACGCTTCCATCCAACTGTCAGTGAGATTTAGGATAGTTTTGAATCTTATTTTAGTAGTTTTGTCCGTCATTCTTAACAGTTAAAAAATTGTAAAGATCTGTGCTCACAGTTTTCCTGCAGTGAGGTATAATTACGTACATTTCATCTCCAAACAGAGTGGTTTAGTTTATTTGGATAAACTGGAGGTTTGTGCTGCTGCGACCTGTGCTGAAGCTGGTGATAAACATTTTATGGAAATCAATAGGAGTAATGGACAAAATAAAAAGTGGTAGAAAGTGGTGCTTCTAACATCTAGTCTACCCTTATTGATATAAATGAGGTGGACAAATATTGAAGACTCTCAGTATTGAACAACACAGATCAACAGCACCATAAATAGTTTCCCTTGACAATGATCATCAATGCCTGTAAAACAGCTTCAACATAAACTAAATAGTATAACCTTCATGAACGAGGTCCATTTTTGAAAACCCGCATTCATCGATACCCATAAAGCTCAGTACCAGAACTGACCCATTACCCATCATTATGTCTAAGTCAAACCTGCACCCATGATTGAACACACACAGGCTACAGTCACTCACATTAGGCTGCTTCCCTGTTCTTGAATTACAAATCCAGTGAAGGAAAAGTGTCTTTCACTGGCTGCACTTGATGCCAGGATGGAGAAAACATTCTGCGCAATCACTAGTGGGGTTTCCATCCACCTATTTTTATTTGCATTTTCAAAAGTTGTGAAAAAAACTTGAAGGGGGTGGATTTGTCAGCGTATTGATAAAAGGAAAATGCGACTTTTTGCTATGGAAACAGGTTTTGCAGATAAACGTACCGGCACACAGATCCTCAAATGTGGCCCTTGACAAACGGAAATGTTTCAGCCAGAGTTCGTGAGTGAAATGCTGCTGGACAACTACTTCCCAAAAGTCCTTCACACGCCTACATTCCCATACACACGGAGAACAACGCGGTGGTCACCTTCCAGCTATTTCCGACAGTACTCTTAACATTAAACTTCTTCTTTGTCGTCTCTTCTTCAAGATGGTTAGGTGCGCTGTGAACACTGACAAAATGCTAACCAGAGTTCTCCCAAGAGCAGACAGGTTTATCAGGAATCTGTCCATGGTCAGTTGTTGAGTGCCAGTTGAGTGTGTTGTTGTTTACAGTCGGCATAAGACGCTCTCTTATGACGTCATCTCATGGCGGACTCTTCTTCTATGGGGGTGTTTTTATTTTGTTCATTTTTCACGAGAAACGCCACCTACTGCTCTTCCTGTTGACTCCCAATAATCTCAAAACAATAACGAATGTAAACGGGCATAAATTCGCATTTTCTTTTGCGCATTGTCACAAAATTCGCTCAAAAATTTTCGATTCATTTGGATGGAAACCCCACTACTGCCAGGTGCAGGAACAGGACAGCGCCTCGCATTCCCACTGTCACACAGTCCTTATTAATCACAAAGCATATTCCTCCTCTCCTTCTCATGCCAGAGTCCTCTGCTCTGTCAGATCCTCACATAGAAAAATCAGTTTGAATGGCACTGTCCAGGATTGAGCCAAATTTTAGTGAATCTAAGGATATTGCAGTTTCAGATACTACTGATAATACTGGTGGAAACTGTGTGGCATGAAGGTCGTCCAGTTTATTTTCAACGTCTGGACATTGGCTCACAGGATGCTGATGTTTAAACAACCTCTTGTACTCCACCCCCATTTTGTAGCGACAACGCCTAAAATGACATACCCAAATTAAAATGACTGTAGCTTCTGAACCACTCTGACTACATGCATGCATGAGGTCTTGCCAGAGAGACAACTCCCTGAAGTTTCTTTTGAAAGTGTCAGAAACACTCTAGGTGTTACAGAGACAGAGTAATGGGCCTCTGTAAAGTACTGCGTTTCTGTAAAAAATTGAAGATTTTGCCAAAAATAAAATAAAAAATGTTTTTCAGGATGAATAACTGTCTGTGGCTTCATCTGAGCAGGTAAATGACACTGTGGGGCTGTAGGCACACTATCAATGAACATTTGCTTCAAATTTGAAGAAGACTGCTCAAAGTATGACCATTCTACAGTGTTTTTTCCATGAAAAGATCCAGGCGGAGCTCCAAATGACAAGTCGGTCACTCAGCTTCAAAACAGTACTATCAGTGATCAAACAACACTCAGCCAGCTTCAAACATTGTACCTTATTGAAATCAGGCGTGATTATGATAGCTGATGTTGTTTATGACACAGAAACACCATAAAATATCACCAAATAAAGCCATATGAAACGTGAAAGTTATGATCCCACTTTCTAGACGGTGTATCTCAGCCAAAAATAGTGGTAGGAGTGAGACTCTTACCTTTTATAAACCAGCTAAGTCCTCGCTAACGGCTCCACATAAGATCGCGAGTAATCCTTTAACTTTTCCTGTCGAAAAACGGCATGACATGACTTGTCACCACTCATCGCGATTTTGGACTTGATGTGTTTAGGCTGCTCTGGTGCGAAATCCATAAGAAATAAAAGAAAAACTATGTTATTTTTGAAAAGTTGAGAGCTTCCTGAATCTGGCAATACCAAACATCACATGGTTTGATGACACAGTGCGTGTGGGAGATACCATTTAACAGAGGAGGGGGGGAGCGAGGACGTCGCCATCCTGGTGGAGTTAGAGAGGTTAAATTTGAACGCCTCAACCTGTCTCGCTAGCACAAGTTGACAGAAAGACAGTTTACGGACTGGTGAGTTCATTTTCTACATCCCGATGAGTTACTCACAGCCACATGCCACAAACGTCCAAAGTGGACCAAAAAAAAGCACCACCAAGACAAGCAAAATAGACGAAAGAGCATAAATTTAGCACAAGTTTAGCTAAGAAGAAGAAGAAGAAGAAGAAGAAGAATTCCAAATACACACTTAAAAGATTGAAATGATGAACTGATGTTATTGAGGACAAATTGTTCTTTACTTGAAGACATGAACAGAAAAATGCTCCAGGATGATTGTGAAACGTCCCCACAGCTGCTCAGACTCTTGTCCTGATGATACCAATAAAGCAGCTGTTAATTTAACAGAGACAGAGAAAGACATAGAGACGGCTGCAGAGAGAAAGGTGTTAAACGAGGTAGAGAGTCCCTTTGAATCTGCCTGATAAGAAAGGTGAAACTGTCAGAAGCAGAGAGGTGGAACAAATGAACGAATAAATTAATTTGAGAGCGCTTAGCCGACAGTCGGTGAAATTACTCTCTGTGGACTCTTTTCAGCCTCTCTGTGTCGGCACAATCCTGTTACTGCCGAGCAGAAAACTCTGCTCATGCTGCCTGAAGCTGGTTTTCGCTTTGATGGGAAAAAAAAGTCACGTTTTTTTAAACATTCACACCTTTTTAGAAGATGAGGGACGACCTCCAGCTGCAGTACAACACGAACAGAAGCTCTCAACAGATGGAAACATTTTACTCAGCAGGATCCACAACAAACTGTAATCAGCACAGCAGGTGTTCTATTTGAAAAGAACAGCTCGCACCGTTCTTCTTGAGAGAGAGCTCTTTAGTTAAAGGGATAGTTTGGATATTTTAAAGTGGAGCTGTATAGAGTACTTATCCATAGTCAGTGTATTACACAGTAGATGGCGTTGGGCACACCCCCAGTTTGGAGAAGCAGGCAGGAGTACCAGCTTGGAAGCTGAGCAGTGCTCTGCTGTGAATGGAGGCAGCAGCAAAACATATCTTAGACAGCTAAAAGAAAAATAATATCAATTTAAAGGGATAGTGCACCCAAAAATGAAAATTCAGCCATTATCTTTTCACCCATATGCTGAGGGAGGCTCAGGTGAAGTTTTAGAGTCCTCACATCACTTGTGGAGATCCAAGGGGAGAGTGGGTAGCAACACAACTCCACCTAATGGAGGCTGACGGCGCCCCAGATTCAAACGTCCAAAAAACACATAATTGAAACCACAAAATATCTCCATACTGCTCGTCCATAGTGATCCAAGTGTCCTGAAGCCCCGACATAAAAAGATGTTTGGAAAAACGTCATTTGAACTCTGTTTTTAGCCTCATTGTAGCCTGTAGCTCTAAGTGCCTCTCTGTGCACCGCGCTCACATGTGTGCGCTTGCGTGCGAGACCAGCGAAAGCACGTGAACACACATGAAGGTGGTGCCCATGTCTCACGGTCTCTGATAATAATCTTTTTCATTCTTCTTTCTGCAGTTTTCTCCGTTCAGTAAGGCCGAGTTGGCATCCTGCTCATATGATTTTACTGTCAGGTAAGATCAATGTATATCTATACTTTCTTCTTTGCTGCTGTAGCATTGCCCTTTATGTCTTTTTGTCCTGATCATGAAACACTCAGTGAGCTTCTTTAAATGAAGCTGTCAATGGCTTCTTTGCAGTGTTTTACTGTGATACATCAGGAGTAAAGAGCCAAAGTGCCAAAATCTGTGAAGAATGCGTGTAACTCATTTAACATTAATGATCCATGGAAATGAAGGAGGTTTTACAGGTTTAAGTTTAATGTGTTTTCACAAAGTAATTATATTAAACATTAGAGAGACAAACAGTGCAGCTGAGTTAGAAACCCCAGGGATCTCATTCAGACTTCTCTCAAGGGAAAATCAAGTTGACACACATGAACAAATATTCTTGATATTATTTTTTTCTCCTGAACTGAGTTTTCCTGATTCTTTCAGTTGCAGTGATACTTAGACCAGCTTCTTCTTACTGTCACTTCTTATGTGTATAGTAAAATCTTTTTTTTTTCATTCAACACTTTTGTTTGCTGGATATTGACTGCATTATACAGGTTATTGACAGTTTTGTCTCTAATAATAATTTAGCAGAATTAATACTGCTGTACTGTCGGTGAAGGACAGGACAAACTCCACACACATTCACCGACCGTGATGTTGCAGCTCGTGCTTGCACCGTCCATTATGCAATATTTCACGACATGTCAAAGAAATAGTTTATATCTGGTCCTGGTTGACAAAGCTGGCACATTTCGTATTTTTTCACGTCAAAATCAACATGTTAAGAGAAAATTTAGTCCTCTAGTAAACCATATTAAAGCAGCTCTGGGGCACCGGACAGCTCTGACTTCCTGCTGGATTAGCAAACTTTCTGTTGCTGCTGTTACACAAGTGAGCAGGCACTGTGGGGTTTGTACTGGCTGAATTCAAGCCCCTACAACTGCTGAGTGCATCATGGGGGCATTATGATTTCAGGTTGGCCGTCTGTCCATCCATCTCATTCTTGTGCACAAGATGTCTGGGCGGCTGTGCGGGTCGTCCACCAATCAAAAGATCAGCGGTTCGATCCCCGGCTCCTCCAGTCTGCATGTCGAAGTATCCTTGAGCAAGATACTGAACCCCAAATTGCTCCCGATGACTGTTCCATCGGTGTGTGAGTGTGTTAGCAGGTGGCACCTTGTATGGTAGCCTCAGCCATCAATGTATGAATGTGTGTGTGAATGGGTGAATATGACTCGTAGTGTAAAAAGCGCTTTGAGTGTTCGAATAACTAGAAAGGCGCTATACAAATGCAGGTCCATTCATATCTCAAGAACGCCCTCAAAGGAATTGGCACATAAGTCCACTTGGACTCCACAATGAACTGATCAGTTGTTGGTGGTCAAGGGTCAAGGTCACTGTGACCTTGTCTGTCTCATTCCCTTAATGCGATATCTCAAGAACACCTTAAAGGAATTACTTCAATTTTGACATAAACATTTACTTGGCCTGAACAATTAACTAATTAGATTTTGATGGTCATAGGCCAAGTCTGTGGGACCTCCTCTATCTCATCCTTGTGAATGTGATAATTCAAGAATACTGAGGGAAGTTCTTCAAATTTGGCACAAACGTTCACTCGCACCCAACAATGAACTGATTGGATTTCGATGGTCAAAGTCAGTGCGACTTTGCATCTGTCTCATTCTCATGAACACTTTATCTCAATAACACCTTTAGGGAGTTTTTGTAAATTTGACACAAACATTCACTTGGACTGAAAAATAAACTAGACTAGAATTTTGTGGTCAAAGGGTCAGCCGCACTGTGACATCATAACTGCGGCGGTAATTCTAGTTATGTGATGTAATGGACGAGTTTGACTGTTTGAGACCAAGGTTAGAGGACTGCAGCAGTGGATGTGGTCTCCAGCGTGGAGTCCCCTTTCTGCTTGCACTCCTTTTCTTTCAATTACCAGCCAAAGCAGATGAATGGTGTCATCCTGAAAGTGGTAATGAGTAAGGACAGTGCGATAATGTGTGATAAAGTTAACTGGTGTGTGAGATGGAGAGCTGCACAGGCTGAGTTAATACAGTCTGTAATATCAAGCAAGACTGCCTCTGTGTGTCTTATGAGAATATGCTACTTAATAATCTCACTCTTTCTCTCTCCCTGTTTCAGTCGTAGTTTTTATGAGTTTCTGCAGCTTGTCATTTAATATACACTCTATTCTGTGTTATAAAACTGCTGATGAGTCTCTTTTACCTGTGCATCGGTTATGATGGATAAGATGAGATCAGATGGATAGATGGATGAATGGTAGAGCGATGAAGGGCAGGATGGCCTACAGCCCTTCAGAAACACACCGAAGTTCATCATTATAAATTGAATAACTTTGGGGGTTTTGGCTGGTCGAGCAAAATAAGCAATTTAAAAAAGTCACCTCAGGCAAATGTAATGAGAATTTTTCTCTATTTTTCTTTGTCTTGACAGATCAATCAATAATAAAAAAAATCAGGCCTTGAATGGAGGGATGACAGAGGAGGAGTTTAGACCTCTGGCAGTATTAGTCTAATTGGAAATTTGCATTTTAAAGAGGAACACAAACTAAATTAACATTTCCAATATGTTATTTCCAAAGTTATTTAATCAGTACTAGTGAAGATGACCAGAGAAGGAAGTCTCAAACTAGAGACTGGTTTCCTAACACATTCTCACTCCGACCTCGTCACATATCAATGTCTGGTCATGGTGTTTCCACATGGAGACATGGGTGTGTTGGTTGTTCATGTTCTGGGACGCCGTGTCAACTTCAGCCTGTTACGTGCATTGTCTGTTTTCAAAATACACTTCTGTTTTCACAGGAAATGTACAGTTTGGGAGATATAAGCTGGAAAACATTTACTGGAAATTCAATTGCAAAACAGTTTATAGATTAAATATTCAGCTGGGATTGTTGTGTTGTCACAATTCTGGAATTTCTAGCTTCGATACAGTACTGAAAAGTATCAACATTCAGTACCATTTTCAGAACAAGGCATGCAATTTAATCTCTTATTAAAAAGATAAATATAATATAACATAACAATGACTTTTCTTGGTTAGCAGCAGAGAACAGCTGAAACAGAAACATTGTGTTTAATGTACCGATGCTAAGGAGAATGAGTCTTGAAAGTGTTTCAGATATTCAGAATCAATATGTATTTACAAATCAATATTTTTGACAACACCATGGGACTGTCAAAACAATATGTGAACCTGAAAGGACGTGAAATGAACATCAGGTACAAGAAGAAAAAATATATCTGTGGCACAAAATTACTTCACTTGTCCAGAAGTTCCCTGACTCTGCTTCTTATAGGATCACAAGCAAATAGTCCCAGAAATATTGGAGGGATAAATACCACCGTATGAATATTATATCAAGGTCTTTTCACATGTTGTTCACGTCTCCCAACCTGAGCAATTTTTGTTTTTTCATCATTCTTCCTGCTTTTTACATATTTTTGTTTGGTGAATGAAGACATGAAAAAAGAGAGAGATGGAGGGACCATTGGTGGCAAGTTAAAAGAGGAGTGATGCTGAAATAACCATCCGGCTGTTGGATATCTTAAATGATGGAGAGGGGGAGGGAGGAAGGAGGGAGGGAGTAAAGTGCCAGAGGAAAAGAAGGCAGAAAGATAAATGTGGTGAGAGCTGGCTCTGTTCCAAACCTTGTGTTTTATTGATCTGAGCTTTCATTGGCTCAAATACTCTATGCTGAGTACTGATTTCATTATAGGCTGTTCTGACACACACACACACACACACACACACACACACACACACACACACACATACACACACACCACCTGGCAGATTCTGGAGTTTTGCCTACGGCGGCTCAGATCATCTCTGTAAAGTAAGAAACAGCATCTGCACTAACAATAATCCTCAGAAACAATTCAGAAAGTACCAAAACAACATTTATTTTTGTTTTCCAAGAAGCCTGCAGGCTGCAGACAAAATAAAACAGATTGCCGGGCATTAAACTAATGCATAGACATAATTCATGACAATACATTTTTGGAATCCTTTATTTACGTGAGGGTGGTTTACTGAATTTACTGAATGCTCCCTCCCTCTTAGTGGCGCAATGCTTTGTAGCCCCTTTTCCACTGCACAAGAAAAAAAAAAAAAAAGCTAACATGAATGTAATATGAAAGTTTACAATAGCCATTCGCACCTGCAACACACTCACTCCAGCCTTGTCACATATCAATGTTTGGTTATAGACTTTTCGAATCAAGATATGACGTCCAAGGTACCCTGAGTGTGTTGGTTGTTGACGTTCTTTAACTTACGCTGTTACCCAGCTACGTTTCCCCCTGACGCCACCAGGTGCCGTTAAGCAATAAGAATAAGCACTCAGTATTTAGTATTTTAGTGTGGTTCCAGTGTCAGTCTTTGGGTGGGATGGGTGGGGTGATGGCTTTGACGGCCTGGGGGAAGAAGCTGTTAGTGAGTCTTGCTGTTCTGGCTTTAAGAGAGCAGTATCTCTTTCCAGAGGGGAAGGGGGAGAGTACGAAATGTCCAGGGTGAGTGGGGTCTGTTGTTGGTCTGATGTTTCTGGCCTTCCTGAGAAGTCAGCCAGTGTAAGTGTCTTTGAGGGGGGGCAGTGTGCTCCAGATGATCTTTTCTGCGGTCCTCACTACCCGCTGTCGGTCCTTCCTGTCCTCTGCGGTGCAGCTGGTGAACCACACTGTGCAGCAGTAGGTCAGGATGGACTCGATGGAGGCCCTGTAAAAGTTAACCAGCAGTGGGCAGGGGAGGTGGGCCTGCTTTAACTTCCTGAGGAATTAAAGTCGCTGGTGGGCTTCCCTCACCTGATAGGAGGTGTGGACGGACCAGGTGAGGTTGGCCGAAATGTGGAGACCAAGAAATTTAAAGCTCTCCACCCTCTCAACTTCCTCTCGTTTGATGGAGAGGATGGGGGGCTCAGTCTTTTTGGATTTTCTGAAATCCACAATGATTTCCTTGGTTTTGGCTGTGTTGAGGTC